ACAGAGTCCTGTGGAAGCCTCGCCAGTGGCATCTTGGCATCTGTGGTGACCTGTAGTAATAACAGCAGGGAGACAGCAGGAGCTGCTTCTAGAAACTTACTCTCCGAGGATGGAGATGGGAAATGGCTTAATGCTTGCCGGAAGTAGACTGACCAGTGGTTCTCAACCTTCCTAATGTCTCGACCCTTTCACACAGTTCCTCATGTGGTGGTGACCCCCAACCATAACATTATTTTCATTGCTACTTCATCACTTTTATTTTGCCACTGTTATGAATTGTCATGTAAATATCTGATATGCAGGATGTATTTCATTGTTACAGATTGAACATAATTAAAGCATAGGGATTAATCATAAAACAATATGTAAGTATATATTGTGAAATATTTATGTATTTTCTGATGGTCTTAGGTGACCCATGTCAAAGGGTCGTTCGACCCCCAAAGGGGTCGCAACCCACAGGTTGAGAACCACTGACTTAAATGTTTACTGAATAGAATTCAAGCATGAATGTATTTGCTTCTAAATCCATGCTTTTCCAACTTTGGCACACATAGTATGTGTTGTGCAGTACCGTGGGGTAAGTGGACAGGGCTGCTGGTGGCCTGAGGTGACCTTGTTAGCTAGCAGCTGCCTTGAGCGAGGATGTGCAGAGCTGCGTCTCCCCAGCATTTCTGCTGCACCTGTCTGCCGGGGTGCTGCGTTCCTTCCGTACCTCCTGTGCTCCCAGACCTTTCCCACACAGTGGAGAATCTGGTTGGTTCCTCTCATCAGACAAACAGAAGGGATGCATGCAGAGGAGACAATGCAGACTTGTGCCTACACTTCCAAGGCTGCAGGAGACCTTGGGTGGGGTTGGGTACACAGTCTGGCTGCTCATCTTCGGACACTTCTCCCCTAGGGATTCTGTTCACGGGGGAGCTCTGGGAGTTCCTGAGCTTTGCTGAGAGGTACCCTGCCATCATCTCTAACATCCTGCTCTTTGGCCTGACCAGTGCCCTGGGTCAGGTGAGTACCCCAAAGGAGACTTTCTGGCTTTCCCCCGCGGGCCGGTTCTCAGAAAACCTGGCTTGGATGGGAGATGATGGGTGGCAAGATTTCAGGCTCCTGGCAGCAGATACCCCACCCGAGAACCAGCCCAGACCCACCTTTCTCTGCTTTTTCCTCTAGAGCTTCATCTTTATGACCGTTGTCTATTTTGGGCCCCTGACCTGCTCCATCATCACCACGACTCGCAAGTTCTTCACCATCTTGGCCTCTGTGATCCTCTTTGCCAACCCCATCAGCTCCATGCAGTGGGTAGGCACTGTGCTGGTGTTCCTGGGTAAGTTCCTTCCGTAGCAGGCCCCACCACGGCGCCTGGAGCGTCCTACCCCGTGCCCATCGTCCCTTTCTGTGTGCGGGACCTCTCTTCTTCTCTGTAGCCTTGCTCACATCCAGTAGGTCTCAGTGCACGCCCCTGACTTAGATTTCCCAGGGGCTGAGCAGGACCGAGTCCTCAGGCTTATTCTTCCCGCCTGCGCGTGAGCGGAGAGAAAGGAGCAAGGGCTAAGGGCTGTGAGTCTTTGCTGTTCTTTGAGTTGTGGAAGGGGAAGGGGATGTGCCGGGGGAGGCACCGCACAAAGTTGGAAATCGGTGGGAAAATTCCCATTATCTTTTCATGCCATTTTCCACAGATGTTTTGAAGCCCCCGTGGGCGTGTGTAATTGCAAGTGTTCGGTGACCTTTCTTTCACTTGATGCCTTTCTGTTTTCTCTGGGCAAGTGTTCTGATGTTAACATGACCGTAAGAGAGCGAAGGTGCTCAGGCATGTACGCCTGTACACACACACACACACACACCCCTTCCCCTGTAGAGCTGAGCCCCTTTTCTCTCTCCCCTCAGGTCTCGGTCTTGATGCCAAGTTTGGGAAAGGAGCCAAGAAAACTTCTCACTAGGAAGAGGGGCACTACCTCCACTCCAGAAACATTTAACTTATTATCTCAAAACGTGACATCTCTTAGAAAATGGACTCAATAGGGACAAGGGACCGGGCTCCAGTCTTTTTTAAAAAGAACGAAAAACAAGCCTTGGATTTTAACAAGCCGAGTTGTGGTTCTGTCCCTGGGGAGCTGAGCACGCTCAGCGCAAATAAAGAGGGAATGCAGCCAGTGGGCCCACTGAGCAGGCTGCCGCTGCTCGGGTGGTTATGGGGGCTGGCCTGCTTCTCCCAAGGGCGGAGCGTCTGGAGTCTACATTTGCCCCGCAGCCTCTGCTCTGTGCTTCGGCAAGGCTGTCCATGAGAGCCGGAACCGCATGAAAGCCTCTCAGAGCTGTAGTGAGCACACTGAAAACCCAGAGGCATCTTCTCTCGGGGCTGAGATGAAATGAACCCAGAGCCCCTGACGCGGCGGGTTCCCACTCCCCACTGCCTCCCCTTCCGTTGGCCGGGCCTGTGTGTGTGTTGTGAGCAGCTCTGGGAGTGGGCTTCTCCAGGCCCCCTCTGCCCATCCCTGCCACCAGCCCACCTGGCCCTTCCCGGGAGGGCTGGATGGATCCCCCCTAGTCTCCTGGCCCCTTCAGCTGCGAGAGCTTCACAGCCCTGTGCCATTCTGACCGTGCCAAGGTATTGCCGTGCCAGCTTCTGCCTGTTGAAAGGGATGCTGGAGGGAGGCTGTTGACTGCGCCCTGGCCCTGAGCCGCAGTCGAGTGGCGGAGGAGGGGGTGGGGGGAGGCAGAACCTGGAGCCTAGCCACCCGCCCACTGCTGCCTCTGCAGTTGGGGACCACTGTCCTCCAAGGAGCAAACTTGACACATGAAAGTGCGTCTCCACCAGCTGCAACTTCCCTCCATCTGTTCAGCAGCCCAGCCCCTGGGCTCTCCAGATGGGAGCCGGCCTCCTTCCTGAGTGGCGCCCCGCCAGGCCCTTCAAGCCTGCCTCAGTCACACACACCTCGCTCTCCAGGGCCGGGGCTTTGCAGCTCGGCCCCAAAGGCCTGCTTTCCTTTCGAGCTCCTCCTCCTAGAGGGGGAGAGTTAAGTACTTCTGGCTGGACTTTCCTTCTCCACCCATTTCCCCCTCTTTTTTTGTTTCCTCCCTGAAGCTTGCATCAGTTCACTCTCTCCCCTGCTGGGAGTCGTGCTTGAGATTGGTTTGGTGGTCAGAGCATGTTCACGAGGGACTGACTGGCACTCCCCACCTGGGCCTGCCCTGACAAACTTTCCTAGCCATCAGAGCAATCTTCCCCCCACCCTCCCATCAGCTCTTACAAGAATGTTCAACAGTCACACCAGCAAGACAGGTTTTCAGTAGCTCAGTGACACCCTCCTGTCCAAGAGGAACGGCTCAGCTGGGCTGGGGCCTCATTACCATGGAGTCCTTGGGTCACCTGCCCATTAGCATTCACTTGCACCTGTGTGCCACACACTGGCTGTGCTGGGAGTTGAGAACCCACACTCGCCCGCTGGGGGGTTCAGTTAGAAGGTTCTTAACGCAACCGGAAAACCCCCCGCCGAAAACGAAGGGAAGGGCCCCGGCAAAGGGAAAACCCAACCGGAGCGCGTAGGAAGATGAAAGGAGGAGCGTGGAGCCAAAGCTGCCCGTGGGGAGTGGGGGCTTAAACTGGCTGCTCCCCATGGCCCCCAGGTTGCTACCTCAGGTCAACTACGTGGGAACGTGGGCGGTGCGTGGCTCCAAGGAAGTTGTCCTCCAGTCAAAGGGAAGGGTTTGAAAGGCTGCTGTGTCGAGGGCGGCATACTTGCCTACAGAGTCAGGGGAACCCAGAGTGCCTGCCTGGTGTGTCCAGGGCTATACTTGACCGCTCAAAAGTGGTTGATCAGCTAATCCTGGGCAGTCCAAAGCCCCATTCCTAAAGATCAAAAGACTTCCATGTGCCGTTCATTCTCAACTCAGTCCAGAAGGGAGAGACCCAGCACGTGCACCCCGATGCCGCCGGCACCGTCACTGGGCGTCCAGTCACGAGATCATGCTGACTGCTCAGAGTCTCAGTCACCTCCTGCAGGGCTGGCACCCGGGCAGATGGGAACAGGAGCGTGTGTTTCCCAGGCTCGGGAACAACGTAGAAATGTGCCGTGGAGGACAGCTGGAAAGGGCCTTCCTGGGATGACGCATTAAAAGACACGGCTCCTTGTTGGAAAAGGGCATTCAGGTGGCAGGAATTGATGCTGCACTGTAGCTCATCTATGACACGGCCCGGGCGGGAGACAAATGGATAGTCCACACACTGACCTGAAGCGTGGTGGTTCACGCCTACCCAGCAGGACGGCCGAGAAAGGCCTGGCCTTCTGCTTCAGTGAAGATGACAGCCCAGAAACCTCTCTAGCCTGTGGGTCGTGGTGACAATTCGCAGCAGGTCAGTCTAGAGCAGTGGTTCTCAACCTTCCTCATGCCACCACCCTTTCCTGCAGTTCCTCGTGGTGTGACCCCCCAGCCATAACAGTATTTTCGTTGCTACGTCAGCACTCATTTTGCTACTGTGATGGATCTGGCGACCACTGTGAAAGGGTCATTTGACCACCAAAGGGGTCGAGACCCACAGGTTGAGGACCACTGGTCTATAGGAATAGACGCTGGGTTTTTATATGGCTCAATTACCCTCTAGTGAAAAGAGAACTGAACAAGGGGAGCTGCACCATTTGGAGATGAGAAGCCGTAAGTCAGGGAAGATCAGGGGCCTGCGGTAGGTCCTTGTGAGAGGAACTCCAGGATTCCTGAGTTCTAACTGGGCTTTGGACTGGTGCCCTCAGAGGGCGGTAAGTACAGCTCCTCCGGGGCCCATTGCCTTGCAACCTGGCCCTGCTTGCCAGGAGAACAGCTTGCACATTCTCTGTCTGGTGCTGGTCATTTCCCCAGATGCCCAGCAGAGAAACTGCCCTGGGTCTGCAGGATCGCTCAGCCCTTCCCACCACAGACATGCCAGCTGTCTCCAGGAACAGCAATCTCCCATGTCCCTAGGGCTCCTTTCCCAAAGCTCTGTAACCTGAACCCAAAGTCTTGCCATTGAGTCACTCGGTGACACAGCAAGCTTTCAGGGCTGAGCAGAACTGCTCCCCCGGGGCTTACAGACTCAGACCGGCACAGCTTCTCTTTCTCCCATGGGGTGGTGGCGGGGTTCAAACTACTGACCTTGCAGTCAGCAGCCAAGTGTTTCAACCAGTGGGGCCATCAGGTCTCCAAAGCCCTTGCCTTAGGACGTCTTCTTGAGCAGTCCTGGGAAGAGATTAGGCCAGAGTCAAGTCATCCCCTACTTGGAATGGGGAGCCTGAAATCCACCAAAGCCCCCCGACTGAAGGGCACATGCTGCTTGCGCCCCCTTGGGAGGGCAGGAGCCAGACCTGAGCCTCCCTCTTCCCACCTCTCGGGGGTGGGGCATCAGTGAGTGCCTCACTTTGGGATCTCCTGGTCGAGTAGAATTTTCAAATCATTTTTAGTACACAGGTATACTAGCTTTTTTTTTTTTTTTTTCCCAGTAAGGTCATTAAAACAAAATCTAGAGGCATTCTGGGAAGATAGGAGTGTAAACAAACCCTTGTCCTGACCCTCCCCCACAAAGACCTCTGGAAAAACAACAAAGCAGCAGCACTGGGCTTTGAGGAGCGCAGAGCAGAGCAGTGGGGAACTGCAGAGAGACAAGCATCGAGAAATCAACAAGTTGCGTAAGGCAAGAAAATTGCTCTTCCCACTGTCTCTGCCCCTCCCCAGAAAACAGCCTGCTCCACACACCACCACAGCCTGCCTCTGCCGAAGAGATGGACCCCGCGGGGCGCGTGCCCAGAGATCTACAAGGTGTCCCTGCCCACAGTTGTGGTTGTGGTGTGCTATCACCACCCCCCACCCAGGCCTGGAAGGCGAGCGCCGTGGGGTCAACACTCCACCTGCTTCATCCAACATCTCAAGCTAACAGGACAGCTCCCGGGGCCTCCGGTTGGGTCTGTCTGTCTCCCACAGGGCACTCGGAGGAGGACTGCTGTGTGTTTGGAAGCAGGCCTCCGGTGGTGGGAACAGCAGTAACCCAAAGATGGGCCCTGCCCTGCTAGCCACTAGACAGGCCTGCCGGGGGTTCTTTTGGGTGTCTCTGTCCCTAAGCAGTCACTGAGGAGAACCTACAGAAGCGGCTCACCTCGGGGTCACGGCTCCAGAAGGAACCAACAAGGCAGGTCTCTCGGTAGTCCTTGAGAGGGCCAGCCCCTCCTGCCCTTGAAACAGAAGACCCCCTGCCTGCGTGTCCTCCCCGGAATAGGGAGGGCAACTTTGGACAGAACCAGAGCTGGGTGTGGGTCTGCTGGCTTAAAAGGCTTGATTGTAGTAACAAAAACAGGAATAATGAAGAGAGGGAGGTGTCTGTGCCCCCTTGGGGTGGGCAGGTTGATTCCTATGTGATAGCTTTCACCAGTGGCACTGCCCACTGGTGGCTGACCACAGCACGTTCTGTTGTGTATTAAGAGAGATGGCATGTTTGAAAAATTAGATCTGGAACTTTCGCGTTCCAGTTAAACCAGGGAGGGAAAAGGCGCCATCCCAGAGGGGAGAGGAGGTGGTGAGCAAAGACCCTGTCGGCATAAGACTTACTTGCAGAAAGTAGGGCAGACAAAAACACCAAAGACCGAGGGAAACTGAGAAAGTTCACATTCTCAAAACCCTAATGCCTTCCCCAGCTCAAAAAAAAACCACAAGACACACAAAGAACAGGCGAAATGGCCCAGCCCACCCGAGTGACATGACAAAGTGAAAGGGTACAAATACAGGGAGGGAAAGTAAGCATGATTAAGTAATTGTGTGGGCCTAAACAAAAGAGATCTTGCACCTGGAAGGAACACTAGCTGAAATGAGAAACAAAATCGAAGGACTTACCAACAGATTGAATCAGGCAGAAGAAACCATCAGAGGCGAAGAGAGTTACAATTACAGGTGCGGAAGAGCAATTAGAATGGAGGCTCAAGAAGGCTGAGCACAATTTAATGGAATTAGGGACAGCAAGAGACTTTATATACACGTGTTCTGCCCCTACCATACTCCACCTCTGCTGGCTTCTAGAATTCACTGCAATGGCCACACAGAGCAGACAGTGGCCGCCACGATGGGGCTTATCAGGGAAGTCAATAGGGGACAAGTCACGTGAAAAATGCACAGGACAGTGAATACACCAAAGGGCATGTCATTCTGCTGTAAGCTTCAATCCAGAGGCACTCAGCCAAAGCCAGCTCCTGTAATTACATGCTCACAGACACCCACTCCACAGGTCCACTTCCAGCCCCAGAGCCCTCAGCTCTACTTAGGCTGTGGACTGGGAAGTCCACCACCCAGTCTTGTGCTCTGGCTCCTGGTTCTGCCGCTGCTGCTCCACCACACCTCTGGTGTTGAAGCTGTCTCTTGGATCAAGGAGGTTCAATGTTCAGGGATCTCAGAGATGTGCTCCACTCCTGGCTGGTAATGAAATTCCTCCCTGCTCCCCCACCCCGCCTTCTGAGATGGCTCAATTCATACCTGGTAGGATGACAACTCACAGTTACCTCTGTTAACAGTCACTCACAGCTGAATCATAGCCCAATCAGTCTAGTTCCTCACCTTCTCACCTAGACTCATGGGGACAACTAAGCACGTGTGGGGGAGTCACAGAGGCTATGGCTAGAAGAGCCATATTCGATAATCCACTCATTCTGAGCCAACTCAGGCTCTTTTAGCCATTGTCCTTTCCATACATGACATTGACCTTTCCATACATGACATTGTCCTTTTCATACATGACATTGACTTCTTCCCTTGCAATAATTTATAATAATTTAAATATAAATTATATTGACCATCAATGGAATTATGAGACAAAACCAAGATACCTTATACATACATCATGGGAATTCCAGAGGAGATGAGTGACATGGGTAGAAAGAATCTGTGAAGAAATAATGATGGAAGATTTCCCCAAGCCAAAGGACATGAATCCACAAATCCAAGCATCTAAAAACTCCAGGCAGGAAAACCTCAAGAGATCTATCTATGCCCAAGACACATAGATAAGCTCCCAAAAATTAAAGACAAGAAAGGCAATGGAATAAAATATTTAAAATGCTGAAAAAATGAACAAACAAAAAATGGTCAACTATGAATACTGCTCCCAGTGAAACTAGCCTTTAGGAAAGTGTGACATTAAAACATTCCCAGACCAACAAAAGTGTGAAGAGTTCATATCCATCAGACTATCCCTACAAAAACTACAAGGGGAGTTTTGTAGGTAGAAGGGAAAAGACACTAGAAAGTAATTCAAAGCTGTACATAAAAAGAACTATCCCTAATAAAGGGAAATACGTGGACAAGTATAAAGGATAGTAATAAATTGTTGATCATTATAAATGTTTTATCCTTCATATTCTTTTTTTTTGTTTGTTTGTTTTTTTTAAACATTTTATTAGGGGCTCATACAACTGTTATCCCAATCCATACACACATCAATTGTGTAAAGCGTATTTGTACATCATTTCTCAAAACATTTTCTCTCCATTTAAACCCCCGACATTAGGTCCTCATTTTTCCCCTCCCTCCCCGCTCCCCCCTCCCACATGAGCCCTTGATTGTTTATAAATGGGTATTTTGTCATATCTTGCCCTGTCCGACTTCTCCCTTCATCCACTTTTCGGTTGTCTGTCCCCCAGGGAGGAGGTCACACACAGTTCCATGTAATCGGTTCCCTCTTTCCTACCCATTCTCCCTTTACCCTCCCTGTTTTGCCACTCACACCTTAATACATATATAAAAGGGAAATATAGACACAGGGCACAAGAAATATAAAGATATAATAGTGATAACATCACAAGGGCAGGGGGAGGATTGATGTACAGAAGTCCCTATAGGTTACTAGAGTTAAACTGGTACCAATTTACCTTAAAATGTTACAAATGCAAGTCTTTAAGTGCTCATGGTTGCCACTAAGAAAATATATTTCAAACATACCCAAAAGGAAAGAAAGCAACAAGGTTCACATTACAATCAATCAATAAAACAAACACAAAAACAAAGAAGGCTTAAGACGCATAAAATAAATAACAAAACAAGTAACTTCTTATCACTAATGACAGAGAATATGCAAATGTCCTGAATGCTCCAAACAAAAGGCAAAGACTAGCAGAATGAATAAAAACCCAGAAACCAACTCTATCCTGTTCACAAGACACACATGAAATCCAAGGACACCGACAGACTGAAAATGAAGGCTGGGAGAAAAACACTTTGTGCTGATCATAACCAAAGAGCTAGGCTGACAATCTAAGTAACAGACAAAGTAGACTACTAGGCAAAATCTACCAGAAGAAATAAAGATGGACATGATATAGGGACTTCAAAAAGTTTATGATAATATGAGATTACTAGATAATGGGATAAAAGCGGCAAAAGGTCAATCAACGAAGAAGACTTAGCAATCATAAATATACCCACACCCATCATCAGGGGCCTAAATACATAAAGCAAACAGTGATAGATTTGAAGGGAGAAGTAGATAGTACTACAATACTAGGAGGAGATTTCAATACACCGCTGAGTATAAAGAGACGCTTAAAGCAATGCCTACCTTCGTAAAGAAGGAAGCGCTTTCACACTAACACTTTAATGCAACAACTCCAAGCGTTAGAAAGAGAATGAGAAACTATGAGTAAGCCTACCAGAAGAAGTGAAATAGCGAAAAGCAGAGCTCAGATAAACCATATCAAAAACAAAAAGGATAAGGAGAATCCATAGGACTAGAAGTTGATTCTTTAAAAAGAATAAAATGCACAAACCTTTAGCTAGACTGACAAATATAAGAAGGAAAAGCTGCAAATGAACAACTAAAACAAAAATGGAAAGCAGGAACATTACAACGGACCCAGTTGTGACGGGATTATGACCGAATATTGTGAACAGTTGTGTGGTGACAACCCGGTCACCTAGAAGAAAGAAACCCACTTTTAGACGCACACAACCCACCCAAACGAGCTCCAGAGGAAACGGTCTCAACAGACCTACAACAAATGAGAGCGAGTCCATGATCGCACAGCCACACTCAGCTACCGAAAGAGAAAATAAACCCTCGACTAGATGGTTTCATCAGGGAACTCTACCAGACTGACACCGACTGTTTCAACTCTTTCAAAAGATAGAGAAGGAAGGAATACTCCATAATTTGGTCCATGGAACAAAAATAACTCTGGTATCCAAACCAGACAAAGGCACACACAAAC